GCCTGCTTAGACTCTTGGCACTCTTAGGTGAGCAGACTTAGTCAGCCTGTGTTGCCCTAACAACAACCCAGTGGTTGTCCAGTTGTACACCATGCTTGACAACATGGCATCCATTATCAGGCCTCTTGAGTTGAACATAAGCATCTGCATCTATGCATGTTTCAGGGGAGAAAGACTTGGGGAAGCCCTTGCTGCATTGACCATCCTTCATGCATGGTGCATTTGGGAACTCAACTCCACATGGACCATGCATCATTTGTGTTGTCACCAAGCTGTAGAGCTCTGGGTCTTCTTCTTGTGATGGAATCTCTGCAGAAATGTGCAGATCAACCTCTTGAGGTGTGCATGGCTTTGAGGCTTGATCAAGGAAAATCAACAGATGCATGTGTGGTAGGCTGCATTTCTGGTACTCAATTGTGTACACTTGTGCAACTGCTTTTCCAAAGATATTGCCTTTGTAGATCAATTCCAGCGCCTCATTTTGCTTCAGATGGAAGACTCAGGCCACTAACTCAGGTCAGTATTGAGCTGTCTGGCCAGGACGGAGGTTCTCAACAATTTCATGCCATTTTGGATTTGCAGTGAGTGTCAAGAAGATGTCAGGGCATCCAGCCCAGCAAACAATTGCCATGCAGTCCTGGTATAGCTGGTACATAAAGCAACCACTGGAGACAAAGGAGGAAGGCAGAATAACATGCCTGCCAACTTGTGAAAGCTCATGTGTGTGGTCATTATTTTTGACCGCATCCACTAAGCCATTGTACACTTCTGCTCAGATTGTTCTTTGGTTAAATTCAATCCAATGCAGGCGTGCTTGCTCCACACAGGCCCAGGCATCAAGAATGAACTGCTGGAATAGCCTTCCACAGCGGAAAAGGTGGAATGCCCATGGAAGGTTGCAGAAATGAAGGCAGTAGCAATAATACTCCACTTCTGTGACCTTTGCTCCTCAGGACATTCCCTGGACTTCTGCATCATCTTCTTGCTCATCTCCCAGCCCATCTTGCTCGCCCTGATTTTGCTGTACAGCCTGCCCAACCTTTGGTATAGCCCAATGCCATCCATGTTCACCATTTGGGAATGCCAACACATAATGCAATGGCATATATGCAGGGTTGCCTGAGCTCATAATTATGAGCTGTCCATCTGTGCAATTATGTAGCACAAAGTCCCTTCGCTCATTTGTGAGTGTATTAGGGAGGACAACAGCAACTTCTTTCACAGTTGGCAAGTTATAGCAGTGTTGGTCTTGCTTTGGGTCAAAATGCAGGCATACTTCCACCACTTCATTGGGTCTTCCAGCCTCTATATTGCGCCTCTCCTGTTCCTTCAGAACCTCAAATGCATGCTGAAATTGCTCTGCATAAAAGTGTTTCTCTTGCAGGACCTCACCCAGCTCCCACAGGATTTGTGGCCTAAGATTCATGTTGCATCATGCACATTCCATGTTGGCCACCTGTGGGTCCAGAAAGTATAGCTGATTGTATGCTGGGTGTGTCTCTCCAATTGGGTGAGCTGGTCCATAGCAATGGTAGAGTCCTCCTTGTATAGAAAAAGATTGTATACCTTGTGCTTGTGGAATCGCATCACTTCTAGTTGCAGCAAGTGAAACAAAAGAGAGTGCATGATTATACTGCTGGATAGTCTCTTTGAAGTGCCTTGCATGTTTGCCATCAGAGGCCATCAGTCTTGCTAGCTCTGGTGGCACTGGCAAGAAATCAGGGAGCTGTATTTGACCATGTAGACAGCATTTTGTGAATATCAACTCTGCAATGGTTGAGTGTCCTGCACATTCTTTAATGAAGTGTAAAGCAAGACAGAAGGCACAGGGCCTATCCATCCTGCCCAGGTAAATCACTTTGTGGTGTTTGCAAGCAGCCTTTTCTGCATACTGCTGCACTTCATGTGGTTGCCATGCACAGGGGACTTGCAACGCTTGTATTGCATTTTGTGCCTCCAGTTCTCTTTGCTGCCTTTGTTCTTCCTCAATTACTTCATTCTGCCCTTACTCATTTTGCCCTCCAAGTCCCAGATCATTTCCTTCTTGATGTGGTAGCTGGAGCTCTTCCAGCTGTGGTTCCACAAAGTCTAGACAACCAAAAGGCATTCCAAAATCATTATCTCTGCAGGCTTGCTGTGAGGCAGACTGATTTCGATGCTGCTGAGAAGCCCTTTCAGCAAGACATTGCTGATGAGATAACATTTGCATAGGAGGAATGAGTGATGATATAGGGACTGCATTGACAGTAGCAAGATTTGTGGCAGCAGGTCCACATGGCCTTTGAAGTAATGGGTCCGGTCTCTGGTGCTCCAAGTTAGCACTCTGATGGCTAAATACTGGCTGTGGAATGGGGGTGCAATCATAGGGCAAACAGGCACAGTGTTCACTTGGTGATGTCAAGTTTTCTTCACATCTTGCATGGTCTTCACTTCTCTGTGAAGAGCAGGGTGTTGTAGGCTCTGACCTACACCAATTAAGTTCCCTTTAAGCATACCCTGCAATCCCCTTCAAATCCTGATTCACTTACATGATAATACACTTTGTGTAACAGTTCACATTTTTGTTTGTTTTGTTTGATAAGTGTGTCTTGTGTTCTATAGTCAAATAAAATACCAATTAATTTCCAAGGGTCAACCAACATTCAACAATTACACACTTTATTTTTCCACAGTGGCAGCAGCAAACAATGTGAATAATTAATTATTCGTGTTGTATGGGTCCGGATACTATCAATTATTGCTTTGCTTCCTTCTTCCCCACATAGTAGGAAACAGACCCTGGGAGTGACACCCCTATCCAATCACCCTATGGGTGTGATGTTTTTGCGAATCTATTCGCACGCCTCCGGAAGTGTGTCACAATTTTCGTTTCATTTTTTTGTACATTTTTTGTACACTTTTGTGTAGTCAGAAAATTATTAATAAATTTTATAACCTTGCCATTGGAAAGTGTACAAATGTGAGCTAGGGTCCCAAATCCGCGTCGCATTTTTGAGGGTCTCACCCGGGCTCTTACAATCCAGTGTACACTTTTGTACACTTTATACACTTTTTTGTAGTGAAGGTAATTTTTATTAATAGTTGTATTACTACTCTAATACAAAATGTACTAATTTCTGTCAGGGTCCGACATCCGCGTCTAGCACCCCCCAAATGCCACGTGCGCTTGTCTACACCGCCACGGGGGGATCGCTATTAATTATTAGATATTAATCGGTATGGGGACCCCATGTGATATTATCAGGCAGGGCTGACACTGCCAAGGACCATTGCATCGGCCATGGAACTCTTAAACTTCCTCATCTGTTGTGCTGCTGTCCTGCATCATCAATATCAGGAGGACCACTTGACTCGGGTAGACAAAAAAGGGGACATATTGGCCCTGCACCCAACGGTGTGCACAGCTGTCTTTAATTCCCGATACAGATCGCCCACGCATGATCGTAGGTCTTGACTATAGGACATCGCGTCTTGAGATTCGCCAATACCAACGCAGATGCATTGAACGACATCGGAATGGCAACTTTCTGGGCATTCGAGGTCGTAATCGAGTTTGTTATTGTCTTCGTCATCGTCTGGGTCGGTGTCAGCGAATGTATGAATCTTGCTTCCAAAAGGCCCATCTGCAAGGCGGATGAGGAGTCAGAGCCCCCAGGTTCTAATATCGAAATCCGGACACAGCCTACTGCAGAGGTCGATCATGAGGAAGACCCAATCGAACATCTCCAAATGACGTGCCTTGTCGGTATCGTCGCAACTGACCGCGTGCGTAGGCGTCACAGATAGCTCCCTGGGGTCCATTCCTGCCATATCTGCCGCTGATGGCAGTTGGCTTTGTGTGAGAAAGATTTTTTTTTCATCTTCAGTCCACATCTCACTTGATTCGTTACGTCTTAATCAGTCCATTATAACATGTAATCGACCATTGAGCAGGTGCTCATTGGTCCTAGTTAAACAGTTAGTCTCCTATCACAACTAGAGCGCAAGGGTAGAAACCGTACACACCATGAAAAAATGCATAGCGATCGCGATCAATACGGGATAAGAGACGACATAGTACATGTTGCACCGTAACCTAATTAGACCAGGGAACCTGTGCCTCCATCCCTCTTGTTTACTCCAAAGTGCCTCGCTTGCGCGGAAGAACGCCCATCCGAGCCACACAAGTCAGTCTGTGTTCCAAATCGTTACTCGGCTTGAAGATCTCTTCTTGAACTCGGTCGCGGGCAAAGTCGGCTTTTAACAGATCGCGTGCTTGTCCAAGCTCTGTCTCCCGCAGCGGGCATTGCCTCATCATGCAGTCGGATAGAGACGTGTATGAAGACAGCAGCCAGTCAGTAGAGCTCGACAGAGTGCGGAGATCATCAAGCCTAAGATAACCCGTCCCATATCGATGCTTGACCTCCACTGCATAACTCGGACTCTCGGGGTCTTCAAAAACAGCACAGAGCACAAGTTGGCCGTGTTGACCAAACCCACGCCTGGCAATATGGTCGGGGCCACCAAGATAATCAATGAAGTGCTCGAAAAGCTCCTCTACGTCGAATGACCAATGCTCTATCGCCGTCTCTTCCATTTGATTGGGCTCCGTCATTTGCACCATCAGAGTGTGAAAAGGTGCCTGACCGGACCTCTGTTCCATATTAATCAGCGAGCTTATCCACGCGAGCCTCTGTTCCAGCTACCCACCCATTGCACCTTCCTGGCGATGTCTTTTAAATCATCAACATCCCAATCCTGCCACCAGCGCTGGATGCCCAGCGTGGGTGCTTTGAATAGTGTCGAGGAGGTGTTGCATTGAACTAAGCTCAAGACACTGGCGCCCACTTCGTATATGCACACAAGCTGGCCTTCCGTGTCAATACAGAGGTTGGTTGAGAGGGCAGTCAAGCCCGCATCATCGCGGCAAACAGTCGAAGGGGACATGACCTGAGCGGCGGTGCGTCGATTGTCGCGGACCATATCTGGAAGACGTGCCATGACCACATGACTCTCCGAGGAGACGGGGAGATTGGAAAAGTCGCTTTGGACCCAGAATATGGCATGGATTGAAGGGAACGCGACGGCGACGATATTTGTGGGGGTGGGGAGGGGGCAAGTGCACCAGTATTTGGGCTGGCTCAGTAGTGGGGGTGGTGGTAAACTGCATAGTAAATACCACGAGGCCCTGGTTCTCGTGCAGGACGAGAGCCAAAACAGTCGAGGATATTGCCTTGAGAGCGAAGATACCGCCGCCGCAGCGTGGCGTTCTCTTCACGTGCCAGACTTGATAGGGGGGGACCAGGAATGCTGTGTTGTCGGCAATGCCTTTGCAGGCCTGTAGATCGTCCTTTTGAATATCCGAAGACCTTCCCAGCCAGTTCGTCGTATACAAACAAACAATCCGCAGTGAAGACAGCTCCCATGCGAGAATCCTGGAGTATATGAGGATGACTGTGATCCGTCATAGAACTGACTGCACTCACCCAGGACTCGCAAGGCACTTCAACTAGCCCTGGCTCCTCCCAATACGTCACATGTGGCCACAAGATGCCATCTCGTCGGGCAATACATGCTTCATTGCCGTCGAAGGCGAGAACTTCACCGTACTCCGCCAGGGACTTCACGTAGAGGAAGGTGTTGTTCACAAATTCGAGAAAAAACATCTCGCTGTGGTGTTTCGGAAAGAGTGACTTGAATTCGAGGACGAGGCGGATGCTGCCAGGCTCCACGGCTCGGAATATCTCGCCGCTTTGGATCGTAACGGGTTTTAAAATATATGGTTCAGGAGACCATTCGCACAGTAGTGATAAGGAGAGGCTGTCGTATCAACAGAAAAGGCGCGGAGCAATCCTTTCTCCAGTCCAACGAAAACAGCTGTTCCTAGCACTCTTGCCCAGGTCACGTCGGAACCTTCGAAGCCCAGAGCAGCCGCGCATTACTTGATCCAGAATCCCTCAGTGCCCGATGCAGCCAGGGCAAGGTTGGTATCGTTGGGCTTGACAGAGACTACAGACGATGCAACGATAGAAGTAGAGTACTTTGTACCAGCCATGACAGTCACGGGGGAGTTCGATAGTATTGCACTGCAGCTTGTTTGGTCAAGATTGGAACTGGTAAGTACGAGGCGGTCAAGTATGTTGGGCGACATAAGTGAGGCACAGCCCCAAGCGCGTGTCATCACAAACGTGCCAAAGTCGCTCGGAGGCGACATAATTCTCCGGACCCAATCCCGCCGTTCATTTCGAGCAGTCGCTGTCGCTGTCCTGGTCATCAGCCATGGCACATCTCATGGCATGCACCTCCCGCACGCACCTTCCCACATTGCTCTTCTCACGTCGTTTCCTCTCTACGACCTGCATACGACAGTCCGGACATAGCAAAGTGAGCTCACCTGCGACCACCTACACGTGGGCTTACCTTGCAAGGCGGCGTAGTGGTCTAAAATCAAGCACGGAAAAGCAATACAAGATGCGCAGAAAGCGAATTTGTATAACCGGATGGCGAGCGTACGTTCCCTTTCACAGCTTGGCGAAATTTGAAGTTCAAATGACGCTGGTGTGCAGGAGATTGTCATCGCTGCGAGGAAGGGCGGTTCCCCCGATCCCGCACTGAACGTCTCGCTCCAGCTCATCTTGGCCAAGGCAAAGAGATTAGGTGTACCTAGGGATAACATCGAGTCTGCATTAAAACGCGCGGCGGGCTCGGACTCGAAGGACGCGATGCAAGAAGTGACCTATGAGGTATTGGGCCCAGGAGGGGTCCCGTGCATAATGTGCGTTGAAGTCTCAACACTTGGATTATGCAGCTTCTCACCCTGAGTTCAGAGATTGCATCACGGACAACCCGACACGGACCATCATGCGAGTGAAGGAGCAATTAAATAAGTTCGGGTACGTCGTGGCCTCACCCTGCTTGGCTAAATAACTTACAATGACTCGAATTGGTAGTGGACGCTTGGCAGATGTGAAATATTTATTCGAGGAGAAGGCAGTATTTAGATGCGAACCGAAGGAAGGCCAAACGTTTGACGATATCTTTGAACTGGCTGTGGATGGAGGAGCTGAGGACGTCGTCCAGACAGAGGAGGATAACGAGATTGAGGTGCGTAGCGGATATATGCTCTTTTAGACGATCTTTGAAGCACATCTGACCGCTCCCGTCTCCAGATCACTGCTCCCCCAAACCTGTTCCACTCGCTCAATACCATCCTTCTTTCCTCGACGAACCTCAATTCATCTGAAGTAGTACAAGCCCCGCTGAACCCATCCGAAGAACCCCTCAGCGAAGAACTCGAAAAACAACTAGACGACTTCGAGCAGCGCCTAGAGGAGCAAGCGGATTGCGTGCGTGTTTGGAGAGCATAGCGAGAACCCAGTCCGTGTGCACTCAAACCTTGAGGGGATGGATGTACGACGTTTCGACCAGGGAATAGTCATACACCATTCACCGATGCAATAGATGATAAAGTACAGAATGAGTTGTGGTGTGTTTTATATGCGCAAAGCTTTAGACCAGACGGTGTGGCTCCCCTTGAGATGCTGAGGCCGCCTCAGCCTCAGCCGCCTGCCGTCGTTCCCTCCTTGCCTCTCTTTCCGCCTTGAACCTCGCCAGCTCGGCTTGAAGGGTGATGTTGTCGTGCGGCGGTCTCTGTATAGCCATCAGCTTCCATTATGACCAAGTGGCATTCGCAAAAAATATATGCGCACATTCAAGGTATCCTCCCTCGGCCAAAATTGGTCCTTGAGCTGGAAGAACAGTCAGCAAGTCGTGGAAAAGAAACGGAAGGCCGACACGCACCGGAGCGACGTTTTTCTCATACCAGTCTGGGTTGCCGTAGTGGAACATGATGGCAACAGGGAAGAAGACGTAGACGGCGAACTTGAAGAGCTCGAGATTTGGACCTCCCATGTTGTTGTTGGTGGACGAGGGAGAGGGAGGCGGAGAGGAATACGCAGGGAAGGGACTGGGGAAGTGGCGCATGGTTGCTTACGTGTACAACGGGTAGTCAGCAACAATATGAACGTAAAAGTATTTCTTGTTGGATTATTTAAACAAGGAGTTCAGAGAGAAATATGTCAAGTGAATTCCTTGCCGCAGCCTTCGTCATCAGACAATTCGTCCTGATCAATGTATTCATCACAACCCCGCACTAACATACACATCCCCCGCAACTCCAGCAGTAGCCTGCATCATACTCATCACCGCCAGAACAAATCCCTGCTGGGCAATAAACTGCCCCAGCACAGCTCGTCCTGTTACAACTTTTCCCCATTCGATCGCCTCCCTCCGCAACCGCTCAGCCAGGCTCTTCCTTCTCTGAGGACCCAAGCTGCGGAGGAGAACGAAATGAAGGAGTACGGAGGACCGACATCCTGGACAGGGAGGGGAAGACGTGAGCAGAGTGGCCAGATGGGTGTGGACGTTCGCGGGGTAAGGAGCGGGAGGGAGTAGTAAGAGCTCGCTCCCGGTCGCAGAACTCCCGTCCGCGAGATCTGGCGGGCAGGGAACGACTCTTAACTGGAGGGTGACTGCACCCTCCCCGGGAGTAGCAGCTTTGAGGATTGACAATGCCCGCCGGACTTCCCGATCCGTCGGTCCGGCTTCATCCTGCCCATGCAAGCGTACCAGCTCTGGCGCCCGCGTTTGGGCGTATGCTGCTCGCCATCGCAAGAAGCAACCTCGATGGACAGGATGCAACTTGGGTGCGGTTGTGCAGAAAGCTTCGAGGGGGGAAGAGCTGGCGGCCGGAGCGGAGCAGATTAGGCATTCTTCGTGTGTCGCTTCATTGGAACTGCCGGAGGGAGGTAGATCGGCGCCTTTGATCACTACTTGCGCTCCGGGTGGCAGCAAAGGTGGTTGTCTAGTGAGTCGCAGAACAACGGAGGAAGTGAGTGCTCGAACGAGAGAGTGCGCAAGTGTGAGCGCGAAGGAGGTGAGCAGGATGTATCGCCAGCGTGGGGCGCGAAGGGTGGAAGGCGGACGGGGGACCGGAAGCTCGCCGAACAGAGGTGTGAGGAGGAAAGGAAGGAGCGGTTTGCTGTGCATTCCGTTTAGAATTAGGAATGCAGTCTACAGAAATCATATGAGTTGGATCCTGCAACCTGAGACAAACCAGTAGGGTAGGCAATCACGCACCGACAAATCTACAACCCCAAAGGCCACTCGTTCCAGCTCACTCAACCTCCTCCCCCTGGCTTGCATCCATCCTACAAAAGCTTTCCACCATGCCCCATCCCTTTCCTCGAGCTCATCATCTTCCAATTCGGGCAAATCTCGGTCATGAGGGAAGAGCGAGGAGGCGGAAGCGATGAGAACGGACCTCCGAAGGAGAGTGGAGCCTTCTACCCAAGTCGATAGGGCGAAAGCAAGGAGGGCTAGACGAACGGAGGGATGACGGGAAGAGGGCATGACATAGGGACTTGAGAGAGTGAGGCTACATACGATTCGTATGCGGGCGGTTATGGTGGGTCAGATCGGACAAAACTGTCTGCTCCCGTTTGACGCCGATCAATACTCGTCAATACCCATCCATACTGGACTATACCCCCCCATACCTGTATGTACTGCTAGAACTGCGCGGTACCCAGCGGTCCACGTCGGTACCCGTCGGTATTCTGCTGGTATCCTACAGTATCACTCAGTACCCAATGATGCTGCTAGGCTTCCGGAACAACCCTCCGTGCTTCTGCGGCTTCCTGCCCCGTGCCACTCTATACGGCGGAGCCGAGACCCTGAGCAGGATACCGCCCCATACTGCCCCATACCGCCCCATACTGCTCCATACTGTCCAATACCAACGGATATCGTTGCATACTGACCGGACACTCCAGTATAGGCCGGTATAGACTGGTATGGTGCAGGACACGAAGGTATGTGTCAATCTACCTCCGAAATGGCTCCGTAGTTATGGTTGTGTCCGAAATGCTCAGTCTTAGGCGGTGCCAGCTGATGCAATAAGCGCCCGTCTCTTTCCTTGCAATCACGTGACTGTTCTTCTCTTCCCCTCACGATGGGTTCTTGGCATCGAATCCTTTCTCACGTCGGACAGCCAGCTGATTTTAGCAAATACGATGCACAAAACCCCGCGCTACATTCTAATAATAAACTGAGAAGTTGCATTTGGGAACAACAATCTCTTTCTAATCGACGGCCTGTATACCGTATGCCCGTGCAGCCCCTGAGTCGCTCTCATTGGTGGTCTCCGAGTTTGATGATATCCGCAGCTAACTCCCATTCATATATGAGCGTATATAATATATACCGAAATAGATGGCATACCTTGCTCAGCAATACTATATACGAGAGCTTCACGGGTACGTCAACTCTGCGCCTCCTCACTGTTGTTATGAACACACCTTGTGGATGGGCAGCAACATGCAGCGGCACGACTGAAAGGTCGACGACCCGGACGTTCTCTGTTCCATATACCTATGCGATACGTGAAATTACTTATACGGATCCATGCTGTACCGTTGATAGTCCTGTACCTTCAATTGAGGGTCAACCACGCCGCCTTTCTCTCGAGGCAGCATCGAACATGTCCCGCACGTGTCTAATAGATTGCTTCAGCCTCTTTCTTAGAGGGTGAACAAAAACACACGATATATAGTCGATAAACCCTGCTTGATGTAATCTTGACAAAGAGCAATCAGAGGATGATACAGCGACAAGAGATATCGAGATGCAAACCTCGCATTTGTTCCTCGGTTTCGACCTCAGGTCCCGGGTCGACCTCTTTCGCTGAACATTTGGTAAGCATGCAGCCCGAGTCACGTCGAGAGATGCAAGATTACCAATGACAGACTTCCAGGGTTCCGTGTTACGCAGCACGCGGACGAACTTCAGAGCTTCCATCATCAGCTTCATATCTGAAGTCCACGTCAATTTCAGCAGGGTACCGGGGCAGAATTAGCATACCAAAGTCATCCTCAAAATAGTGTGGATCAATGACAGGGTTATCAGTGCAAATTTTCGATGCCGCATGCTGCATCAGGTTAACGAAGGACAGATTTCAAGCGGCGTAAGGACATACAACTGATCCACGCGAAAAAGGGTGATTCAATACTGAGAGGATTGTCATGTAAGACTTTCCCGGCTCTGGCTTGCTCCGGAAGGTGAAAAACTGGGAAAGCGGTAAGATGTTACTGTCGCAGATGACAAAGTCTCACTTACTGCAGGGAACACCGTGTACTCCACATCGACCCCAGCGGACTCCTCGAGATTCCGGAGCTGGATCTGGTACTGCTCCCAAAGACCTTTGCTGAACTTGCCGTCCTGGTGCTCCCGCTCCAGCTTCGTACGTTGAGCTGCAATCAAGGACTCGGCGTCGGCAGACACCTTCTGGAGCGGCATGTAGGATAGGGTTGCGAGGCCCATCGTGAAGAGGCCTTGCTGCTTCTCATGACTAACAACAACAAGGTCAGCCAATGTTTCGCAGGAGGGCTGGTCCTCACAAAAGTGCCATCTCTGCAGCAGCACGAGCCGGGTCGAAGAGGCAATCATAAGTATTCCAGCTTGTACCTGGGTCCAATTCTATGTACGTGGCAGCAAATAGATCAGGATCATATCACGGGCAAGACGAATGGTTGGTACCGAATGACATGCCAAATAAGCTGTGTTCCTGAGCGTTCTCCCCCACTCCGGGAAGTTCCACTTGAATGGGGATATCAATACCCCTCAGACGTGCCTTTGGACCAATCCCAGAGAGTTCCAGTATTTGAGGCGATTTAAGCGCCCTGACTCAGTTTAGTTGATACGATATCCCCAAGCTGAGACTCACCCAGCACACAGGATAACTTCTAGGCGACAGGAAGTGAAGTATAGTTCGCCCTGAATAATGAACTCGACCCCCTCTGCTTTCCTCTTATTATCGTCCGATTCAGGAGAAATATCTCTGGCGAAGCGTATCTTTGCGACATACGCTTCTAGGAGAATGTGAAGGTTCGGCCGATCAGAGTTCGGTAAATAAAACGCCTCCTCACGGGGTCAGCAGGAATGATAAACGGAAGCGTCGGCCTTACAGTAGTAACGTAAGATCGCGTGCGCTTCTTCGGATCTGTTTGTTGGATGTCAAAAAAACATACGAAGGAACGTTGAATGTGAGCGGATACCTATGGTGAGCGCAGCCATCCAGGTCCCATTTACCTAGATCATGTTAGTCGAAAACAGGAGGATCGCGAGGTTCGTACAGTTCCTGTGCACTACAAATTCACTGTCAGGTATGGTTCACACCCAAAGAAAGCAATATTTACCCCATCCTCTAGAGTCTTCACGCCTGCATTGTTCAAAGCCTTTCCAAATCGGAGCATTACGTATATGCACACATCAAAACAGAGTTCGAACACACCTGTTGTAACTGCACCTCGGCCGCCATAATCGAGTTCGGATAGCCGACATTTAGCTCACCGTCTCCGCTATGTGCCTTGAGGTCATAGTTGTGACAGGAAGCAGGAGAGTCCTTGTCAGCGGGTGGGGTGAACCTATCTCAGCTCAGCTTTAGCCAATCATTCACATCAGGGACGAACCCCTCGCCACGCTTTGAATAGGTAAGAAAGTTTGACCAATTCCAGCCCGGATTTCCAAGTTCTTCCCAAGCTACCCATCAATGAGTCAAACATCTTCACGTGCGAAGATACGTAGCACGGAGGAACCGCACCGTTGATGTCTTCCTTCGGTGGTCGCATATACGACATGAAGTTGCAAGCCGACGACCCTCCCAAGCTCTTTCCCCTGGAATCACAGATTTGAGCCAAGTCTCCTTGCCATATCGATATATGCCCACCTAGACCACATGAACTGCCTCCCATCACAGTGCCCTTGCGGAGTAGTCATAAACGCCCAATCATAGTTCTCGTTTCCGAACTGCTGCAAGTAAGCACCGGGAACCATAATCAAAGGGTCGTCTAGATTTGCTTTTCCGGCTTCGAGGACGAGTACGGAGATACTTGCATCTTCCGAGAGTCTGGCGGCGAGGGTCAGACCCGCTGTCTGTTGACCGCGATCAGCATCAAATCTGTCCCCTGAGTAGAGCGCTTCGTGGACGTACGCCGCCGCCTGACCATAACACAGTCAATGTCTACGGTCTTGGTGTTACACCCCACATACCGCATATGATGTAGTCAAAGGTCTGAGCACGGACATCTTCAATCACCGCAAAACGAGGAGTAGTGGTGGAGGTCATAGTTCGGTTTGGAGGACAATACCCGGCTTTCGAGCCCTATCGTCCTATATATCAGACGATGCCCTCAAGAGAACACTTAGACTATCGGATGTCCGGAATATCTGACGGGGAGTAGAGCGGACTGTCAAGCCATACCCGAATAGGAAGTTTAACGTGCAACCGATCGGCAGCGGCGGGAAGACGAGGGTTCTTTGGCCAGCGGGCTATATAGTGCCCGGGGTTAGTCCGGTTCAGAGACAATAAGTGAGTCGGCCGGTAATTCACCTATAGAGTCGCGTCTAAGTTTGCCAGATAGCATCGGGCAGTTGTACATTTTGAGGCGTGGAGAAGCGCGTTCAAGGATCGTGGGAGACCACCAATCATCAGACCACATCATGTATCAGAGCAGGTGCCCTATCGATCACGATGTCTACACAAGCATTCATAAACTGTAAAGAGCGGGCTGGAATTGTATATGTTCAGCTGTTCAGTTGTGACTCGTGACTGACGCGCAACAAGGTCGACGCGGGTTTCGTCTTACGAGAAGAAAGCACTGCAGGTTGATCCGCTGACAACGGGAAGAACGGGAACGCTTCTCTTCATCAGCCCACATCGCAACGCCTGCCGCCCCGAAGACAACGCACTCTTCTATAATATCTTGAACAAAATCATCGCACTGCATCAATATGCTTGGCATTGAAATCGTGTGCACGTCGTGCAGCGCTTATTCCACGCGTCGCAGACATATTCCCGCAGGTGCCTGAGCATATGCACACGGTGTTCAAGTATCATGTTGGGTGGAAAGACGTGAAGGGCATCTTGATCTTGACTCTTCAACTCCGAGTGTGCATCGTCGCAGTGGGGCAGAAGGCCTGATCTTGTATGAGTCAACTACAACCCTACAACCTCTCCCTCTCGAGCTCCAGTCCTGCCTTCATGTGCGCACGCCTCCGTATACCTTTTGTGCTTCGTATGCTGACTCGTACTGTTCAGATATTCACCATTTCGCGACGGCTACTGGGGCACGAATGGAGATCTGGCGGGAGGATGGAGGTCGTCATTCAAGGGTGCACCGTTATCCTGGCCGGTGAGCACATATAGTCTTTCGGTTGCCTCTCTTTCTGACAGTAGAACCCAGGCAGCAAACATAAACAACTTGATTGATGGAGTTGCGTATGAGGAGACGTGGAAGGATGGGGCGAGTGTGACATTTACCTTTGAGGGTGCGTTCACTATCACCCTTTATCTCATTTCATCTCACCTCTATCTCCTTAGGCACAGGCTTCTACTTTTGTTTGACATCATATGCGCCCAACACTTACAGCGTATCTATGAATGGGACTGCTGCGGGCTACCTGATACAAACAGGGCCATGCGGTAGCAACGGAAACGTGATGGCATTCATGGACAACCTGCCATACGGGAGCCATACCGTGCAGTTAGTAGCGCACCCAACATCAACCGAGTTGGACCAGGGTAGTGTGCAGTTCTATGGAGCGAATGTTACGCTTGGCATGAATGGGTGCGCTATTCCGCTTCTCACACTTTGGCGCAAATCATTGACATTGCCCTGCAGGACGTACACCCAGAACATAGTGATCGACGATCGCGACCCAGCTTGGTTCTACTATGGGAATTGGACCGCTACCACCGCAAACCCCTACGCAACATCGGGCAGTTTGCACCGTAATTGCTGGTACAACCCCTCCAGCCTTGCGCGGTACACCTTCAGCGACGCCAATGTAGTGTGGCTGCTGGGGCAGCCTTGGATCGACGCCGGGCCATACACGGTGTCCCTCACTGGCGGTGGAAAGAATACCACCGTCACGTACAATGCTTCCAACTTCTGGACGTCGCCGCAGGTGATTCTGTTCGCTGCGGCGGACTTGGACCCAGGTCAGAAATACACTATCACGCTGACGAATTTCGACTCGAGTCAGCCGGGCTCCACTATTCCAGTAGTGGCAAACGAGGGCAACCAGACCTGCACGAGCGTGGATGCACTCGTGTTGACACAGACGCAGCCCCTGCCGTCACCACCTGGAGGGTCGAGCGGAAACTCAACAGGACCCATCGTTGGCGGGGTGATTGGGGGTGTGGGCGGGCTGTTACTGCTCGCTCTGCTCTGGTGGTGGTGGAGGAGACATCAAGCACGAAATCGCAATCCTCGAGGACAAGTGGACCTGAATGACCCACTTGAGGACGCGCTCCAGGCCTCAAGACAGGAACCATCTCCTTTCTTCCTTGGTATGCTCTCTGCGTTTATGACATCCATCTTATTCTCACCGAAAGCGTGTCGTCAGGAGTCGCTCCACCACGAAGGAGCGGCGAACGCCTCCTCCGGTCGCGCAGCTCTTCCAACACCAGGTCTCCTCCATCCCCTCCAGCTGAGGCAAACGACCTTCCCACCTACTCTGTTCAAGACTCAATAACCCCCTCCGCGGAAGGTGGCTCCTCCCATCCTACACGACAAGTGAGCTCTGGTGGTGCACGTACCAACAGCGTGACAGTACAGAGCGACGGTTCGAACTTGGATGGCACGAGCACTGCAGAGCTCGTGAGGGTGTTGAACCAGAGGCTCCAGGCTGGGCCGAGAAGACAGAGCCTTACGGCTGAGCAGGGGGAGGGGACCGGACTTTTTGAGAATAATTGGCGCCGTTGTACATACAGTAAAAGTACGGGGTGGCCCACTGATATTAATTGAGATATAAGCGATCTCGCCAATCTTAGCCGGCCTACAGGGGTTGAAACAACTTACAATTTACGCCCTTAGACCGGTAGCCTTACAGTGTCATACGCTCTTCTCGCCGGTTTATTTGGCATGGACCTGGGTTTACTGTGATAAGGGGTGCATAACGAGTGCATTTTCAGACAGAAATTAGAGTACGAAAAGCTGGTAGATCAACCAAAAACAATTGTGACAGGGCCGCATGATGTAAATCTGCCTTTTGCTTGCAGCCAAGAACAGGAGTGACGTGAATGTCACAACCTTTGATGCGCCCGCGTGTAGACTAAAACTCCACATGGAGCAGGACAGAAGACACCCGTTCTCAGATTGACTCTCTTGAATATAGGAGGCGCCTGTCCTCCGACTGTAAAAATGGTATGGAGAGGACCTGAAGTGCGCGACTCGGGGTGCGAATGACGCAATGTCCTGTGGCGGCGCGGGTCAAAGCCTAACGAAGGAGGAGACACGCGGAGCAGGCGTAATCTCATCGATCTTGTGTCAAGTTGAATTTTTTTGGACCCTTCAGGAGAAGATCAAATGTGCGGGGTGGGATGATCATTGGACACTGTCCCCAGGAACGATGATGAAAGGCCACAAGAGAAGACAGAGCACGTGACCTCGTTCCGCTCCAAATTAATAATAATGTGCCTTGGGCATGTTGTTGCACTGCCTCTTTCGGCGCTTCCCCGCGGGATCAGCGCATAAGGGCAAATTTATAAGCAGTCAGGGTGTTGTGGAATAACTCCGATGGACGCGTATGGGCATTGCGCAATACTCTTTCGGTGTCGCGCAAGCTGCAGCGCCCATCGCGTTACCAACTGAAAAAATGTAACCGGATTATTCCAGCCAACTGGCGCTCCGATCCACCTGCCTGGTCCTCTTGCTTTACTTTGCACTTTTATCTTGCCAGCATATCTTGCGATTGCACTGGAATATAAATAAGCTGACTCAACGATCGAGAACCGACCCGTCATCAGCATACCCGAGGCCGACACTTCGGACCTTGCAAGCTTAAGAGTCGCAACATCGACTCTCTCTCACGACCAAAGTTACCATCTTCAGCGGGCATCTTCGTTCCTGAGAAGGCGTCATTCACCTCCGCGCAGCTCTGATTATCTCCAGCCCCTGAAGGTTAAGGTTCTCATTCCCAACAAGGCAAGAAAGACACATCTGAAAGCCGTCACGCCATTGCATCTGCTTCTGTCTACCCACAACCTTACAGCCAATTGCCCGATACCCTTCGAACTGGCAAGGAACCGATTGCGTATTCGCTCCACCTGATTTTCTTCTTCCCGACCCGTGTGGTTCACCCGGTGTATATATAGCACCAAGAACCTCGACTGAGGCATCCCACCCGCAACTCTCATCGCACTCACGACAACAAGTTGCGGTCATCATGGGCTTCGTAGAAAGCTTGAAGAAAGCGGGGAAGAAGGTTATTGGCTACCCCGAGCGGCCCGTGCCTGTGGTGTCGTCGATGGACTTTGTTCGAGGGCTAAGCAAGAACCCGAAACAAGACGTGCGTACCCTATCTTTCTCTATTATGAGTACAGACACTGATTTTCTGCTGTATGCAGGCAATCAACTACCTGCGCAACCTTTTCCCCTTCTTGCAATGGATAACGCGGTACAACCTCGGCTGGCTCACGGGCGACGTCATTGCCGGTATCACCGTCGGCCTCGTCCTCGTACCCCAGGGCATGTCATACGCACAGATCGCCACTCTTCCGGTTCAATACGGCCTGTATTCATCTTTCGTCGGCGTCTTCGTCTACTGCTTCTTCGCAACCTCAAAAGACGTCAGTATTGGTCCCGTCGCTGTTATGTCACTCGAGACTGCAACCATCATCTCGCATGTCCAGGCAGCATATGGCAACAGGTGGAGCAATAACGAGATTGCAACCACACTAGCATTCATGTCCGGATTTATCGTCCTGGGTATCGGCTTGTTGAGACTTGGATGGCTCGTCGAATTCATTCCCGCCCCGGCGGTGTCTGGGTTCATGACCGGCTCAGCGCTGAATATCGCAGCCGGCCAGCTTCCCCAGCTCTTTGGTGTGCAGAACTACTTCGAGTCCGTATGTTTCAAACTGTCTAAGAACATGTATACTGAAACATATCCTTTAGCACCCGCGCTGCCACATACCAGGTCGTCATCAACACGCTCAAGTACCTGCACCTCTCAACTCTGGACGCCGCATGGGGTGTTCCCGCTCTCGCCTTCCTTTACTTCACACGGTGGCTCCTGAAGCACCTTGCCGAACGCCACCCTCGTGTCCGCCGGGCGGCTTTCTTCATGACCAACCTGCGCAACGGTTTCGTCGTGATCATCCTCACTCTTGCTGCGTGGCTGTACTGCCGTACGCGATTGTCCAAGTCTGGGAAATACCCCATCTCCATCCTCCTCACCGTCCCTCGCGGGTTCCAGAATGTCGGCCAACCGCACATCGACCCGGCCCTGCTCTCAGCCCTCGGCTCCGAGCTCCCAGTGGCGACCATTATACTCCTCCTCGAACACATCGCCATCGCCAAGTCTTTCGGTCGCGTAAATGGGTATAAGATCAACCCTAACCAAGAGCTCATTGCCATCGGCGTGACGAACACCGTTGGAAGCTGCTTCAACGCATATCCTTCTACGGGTTCCTTCTCCCGCTCCGCCCTGAAAGCCAAGTCTGGCGTGCGCACCCCTGCTGCCGGTTGGTTCACAGGGATCGTTGTTATTGTCGCCCTCTACGGCCTCACAGACGCCTTTTTCTGGATCCCCAAAGCGGCACTCTCAGCAGTCATCATCCACGCCGTCATGGACCTCGTGGCCAACCCACAGCAGGTCTTCCAGTTCTGGCGCGTCTCCCCTCTCGAATTCTTTATCTGGGCCGCTGCCGTCCTGGTCACGGTCTTCAGCTCAATCGAGAACGGTATCTATACTGCCATTGCCGCCTCTGCTGCTCTCCTGCTTGTGCGCATCGCTCGCCCACGTGGACATTTCCTCGGGAGAGTGACCGTGCGTGCGGACCCCTTCGCCACGCCGGAAGCGAGCATTGCAAATGGGAAAGAAAGCTCAGCACCTGGAATCGTTCGGGAGGTCTGGGTTCCCATAGATCGTGAAAGCCACATCATGAATCCCACCCTGAAAGTCGAGCCCCCGCCGCCAGGCATCATTATCTTCCGGTTCGAGGAGAGCTTTACCTACCCAAATAGCTCGCGCATCAACAGCATCATCGTTGACCATGCGAAGGAGACTACCCGCAGAGGACTCGACCAAGCAAATATTCGTTTGGCTGATAGGCCGTGGAACGACCCTGGACCGAGGAGGGGCGAGCCCGACCCTGCAGTACTTGACGCCAAGAAGCCGCTGCTTAAGGCGGTGGTGCTCGATTTCTCTGCCGTATCCCAGATAGACACAACCGCTGTGCAGAGCCTTGTCGACCTCCGACGTGAGCTCGAGCACTGGGTCGATGCTCCGGTGGAGTTCCACTTCGCTGGCATCCTCTCTCCATGGATTAGGCGCGCTCTTATCGCAGGCGGGTTCGGTACTGGAACACCGGGGAGGAGTCTGCCGATTGAAATTGCCCCCGTTGTCCCACCGTCAGACGACCGTGCATGGGGCCCTGGAGATGAGTTTCCCGCTCGGCAGGGTGGTCACCGTGAAGACCTCGAGGCTCTGGCAACAGATGCGGATAGCGGGTTGGAGAAGGATCCGAACGCGCTCGCCGGTGCGAGCACAACAGACTTTGAAGCACCCATCGTCAGCACCATGACGCCGTTCTTCCACTTTGATCTGAGCACGGCGGTGAGGAGCGTGCAGGGACATTCATTGCCTGAACCCCCGGAAGTAATTGGTGAGGGTGCTTCAGCCAATTAGGCGCTAGTGGACGTGAAAATTGGGTAATGAAGGGATTATTATATTGTAATGGTAGACCACTCCATGACGAAAGAGACAGTATTTTGACTTCATTGGCCTATCGTGGCTGGCAGATGGTGTTATCATATATCAACTGGTCTATAAGTCGTCCCTCGCGAAAACCTACAGTTACGTCGGCGGTTTCTGGTTTGATTCCGTCATAACACGTGAACTGTCCAGTTCCAATTTTGGAATGGGGGACACTAGTGGGAGTGCTTGAACCACAAGATTCACCGTTGGATCCAGACCGTGTACAACATCCGGGCGCCTATTTATTTGCCACTAAATTGTGGTATCTGCTTGATCACATGTGCATGGAACTGTGAAGAGGTTGGACGCAGGCTTCCGAAGTGCCGTCTCCTGGGAAATCGCCCTAACGTCGGGAACGCACGTCAACATTCTCAGACACCATGACTCGTGTCAAAAGCGGTATGAGCTGTCCATGGTTCAATCTTTGTTGATCGACATACATAACGAGCTCCAGCTGTTTTGCTCACTCTGATGGTCATGAAGAACTGCATAACTCTATGAGCACTCGCCTGCGCCTGTATGGTACGTATATGGTGTCTTGCCCTTTGGATTGCTCCGGCTGTGGGAAACAATATGGCGGATTCGAAGACTCTATACTGTTCTTATTGCAACCGACATTGCCGGAATCCCGAGATCTCTGCCGTTTGGTCGGCACTGGTATTGAACGCCCAACACGCATTCTGATGGCACTCTGGGCACGCAGGGTCTGGCCACTCTGAATCTGTTCAATACCAACAATGGCAATGTCCAAGCCATGTGTGATACTCAGGTCTATTCATTCCATTCTCGAGAACAATATTGTGATTCATCTAATATCATGCCAGCTTACTGCTTCGCCATGCTAGCTAGCAAGCCACGAACTGCACTGGTTGGCCATAGTAACCAGGCATCCAACAACCATCAACAAAGCTGTCCCACAGGACAACATCCAGTCGGGACGCTAGGGAAGCCGTGCGGGTTAGACTTTTCAAAAATAGGTGGGATGATCACCATTAATCTTCCCCAAAACAGAAAAACCAGTTCTATGCGGTGGTGCTCGCCCAGCCAGTTCCGAAATGCTGATCCCTCCACCGCCCATCCGTGTCTCCCCCTGCCAGCATAAAGGTGTTCGACTCCAGTACGTTTTTCCTTGCTCTTCCTTGTCCCATTTCAGCACCTCACCACAAGGTCGGCTCGCAATCAGCTTGTGGCAGCTTCTGTCGAGGCGGAACTGTGTGTTGCCGAGCTCGTGATTGCAGATTCCCCTTCCGAAAATGGCCTCGCCCACACCATACAACATCTCTCTCACTAGCTCTAGTCCTGAGTTTATGTGCGTATACCAGTTTAAGCGCCTGAACAAGCTGACCCCTCCTGATACAACAGCTATTCTCCATTTCGCGGTGGCTCTCCCGCATCACAGGGCGACCCAGCCGGAGTACGTCACTCGTTCACTCACGCACTTTAGCGCCGACATTGGCTTGTGTCTCACAGGGTTGGAGGTCCAGCTTGTATGATTTTGACTGGACCGTTTGGACCGGGACACTAGGCACATATCAAGCTGGCCAGCCGGTACGCGAGGCGTATGCCAATGGGGCCAGCGTGTCGCTGCAATTCGAGGGTGCGCACGAGGACATCCTCTCAGAGCAGGGCGCTAAATAACAACAGGCACCGCGATCTACCTCTGTGTTAGCCCTACTGGATCGTCATACACCTTCACAGTCGACAACAATCCTGTGACCACGTCTAGCCCTGCGTCTTCCGATCCAGCATGTGCGAACACAGATGCCCAGGTTATGGCATATGCCACCGGTCTCGCATATGGCAGTCATTCTGCAACTGTGCAGGTTAATGCCGGAACAGGCGCTGATTTTCTCTTCCACGGAGGTGTGGTCACCCTAGGAGTAACAGGGTAATGCCCTTCGGAACAAAGGTTACGGCGGCTGACCATACCCACAGTCCTTACCCGACCGTGAGGCGCATAGACGATACCGATCCCAGGTGGAACCTGCAGCCAGCCAGTACGTGGACAGGCTATGTCGGGAACGAGTACACGCAGGCGAGCTACAACGGGACGTGCACCTGGACGTGTTCTTGGGGCAGCGCCGAAACCGCAAGCTATACATTCTCCAGTGAGCGCCTATCCCCACCTCACGTCCCCGACCCGGCTAACTCGATCTCAGACTCCTCAACCGTCCTCCTCATCGGCAAAGTATCCTACGACAGCGGGCCATTCACGATCCAACTAGACGGCCAGTCCTCGGTATGGAACAACTCCGACCTATGGTGGGAAGAACAACAGGTACTCTTCTTCCAGTCCGGTCTGGACCCAACGACGCAGCATACGATCGGGGTGAGTAACTGGGATGGCGCAGATTCGAACGCGACCCGCCCGAGCGACCCGGGCAGTGCACCGTGTTTCCAGTTCGACGAACTGGTGCTCATACAGCCGGGTACGTTACCGCCGAACGCGAGTGGGAGCCCCACGTCCTCGATGCCAGGAGCTTCCCCTACCGGTAAAGGGTCTTCAGGATCGGGCTCAGGCTCGAGCTCGTTTCCCGTCGCTGCCGTAGCAGGAGGAGCAGCAGGCGGCGCCGTTGCCCTATGTATCCTTGCCCTCCTCCTCTGGCTCTGTTTCAGACGCCGACCGGAGCCGGTGGACGACGAGCCCCCGTTTCCCCTGCCCGAAGACCACATGACGCAGTACATAACCAGCGCTTACTACCCTCCGTCCACTTTCTCCCAAGCGGAGTATGCGAGCCAGTCGACCTCGCAGCTCGAGCAGGGTACCATCAGTGGACAGATCTCTGATGCTCCTCCTGCCCCGGCCCCGGCCCCTCGTCCAGGGGTAGGGGAACCGAAGGACTCGGGAGGGACACTCCGGGTCTTGTCAGCGTCCACCCTGCCTCCGGGTGCGGCGCCCGCCAGCCCACCGGGTGCTGGGACTGCGGCAGTGGACGGCGCTTCCACCCAGGCGCTGCTTACGGTCTTGGTAAACCGGCTATTGAGGGGGAACACTTTGCGAGGACATGAGGATGCTCCTCCGCCGGAGTATGATGATGCGCCTGTAGGGTAGGGTAGGGGACGTGTATATCTGCAGTAGAGTATTATTCTCGGGTGTGGGATGAGCAGCTCAAACGCGCGAAATCGGTTTTTATTCATTTCTCCGGTATACAGTAACTACAGTTGTCCACTCGCAAGAATTGCACCGCAATGTCTTATCTCGCCTTTATTCGCCTTTTCTCCGGAGTTGCGACGTCATGTTTTCGAACTGGAGTGCATGCGGTTACCGGCCACTGCCTGCGCTAAACGGTGCTCAGCCGTGCTACTGTGACGGTGGGACTTGCAGCTGGAGTCCTCACCGTGCGCACGTGACATGGAGGCAGTGAGGGTGCATGTAGCATCAGGGCCCTGACACATATATGCTTCTCATCTCTCTCTTTAACCATCATCTTGCCCCAGGGCAAAATGGTGATTGCAGAGTAGCGGTCTTATTACTTACTCTATACTCTACTTGTACTACTCATTGAATGCTAGTCAGATCAATACCTACTAAATCCTCCTCATAATATACTCTGGGTGTCACAGCTATGTCCACATAATGTCAGGCATACAAAACATATAAAACCTACTAGCAGTCCCTATCCATCATCTCCACTGGAGTCAAGCACTAGTATATGATTGCCTCAGGCAACCTGTCTTGTGAGTGTGGGTTATGTTAGTTAGATGTTTAGATGTTGTCAGGGCACCAGCTCATTGCTTGGTCAAGAGACATGACTAAGCCTTTATGACATGGAAGTAGCTGGTATACCTTGGCATGTGCTGGAACCTGCTGGAAGGATTGGATGGTCAGGCGACCTGCTGTGCATGGCTGTGCATGACCTCATATGACCTGATCACCTGACTAGGCAGAGTAAGCAA